ACCCAGGTATGGTGGTGTGAACCTGTAGTCCCTAGCTACTTGGAGAGCTCAGGTGGGAGGATCTCTTGAGCCCAGGAGTTTGAGGCTGCAGTGAGCTGTGATCACACCACTGCACTTTGGCCTGGGTGACAGAGCCAGACCCTATTGCCTAAAAAAAAAAAAAAGAAAGAAAGAAACACTACGGTGTCTGCCAACCCCACTCTCTCCTGGCTGTGAAACCAATCCCCACAGCAGTTCTGCCACTCGCTGCGTCTTTTCCAAACAGACCCTATTTCCAGTCACTCCCCATGGCCAGCCAGTTCAGATCACCCTCCAGCCAGCCGCCAGTGAACGCCACTGCCTAAGTGCCAGAACCATCTACACCTTCAGTGTCCTGAAATACAGCGAGTTCTCTCAGCCCGCCTGCTTCTTGCTGGAGGTCCCAGGTAGGCACTAAATGGTGCGGAAGCGGGAACTTTCCCTCTGGACCTTGGGAGCTTTGTGACACCACGGTTACAAGCACGAGCCTAGAGATAGACTCACCTGGATTAAAACCACACTCATTGTGTGTCTTTGGGCGGCTTTGTTTGCACAGTCTGTAGAAGGGGTTTATTCTTGTGAGGATTAAACAGGGTAATGGACGTGAAGCACTCAGCACGTGTGCGGTTGTAGGCAAGAGCCATTGTCGTTTCTCTCATTATTATTTTCCTTCCTTAGAAACCAACTGGGTTTTCCTGGTGCTGCCATCACTTCTGCTACTGCTGTTAGCAATCGCCACAGGGGGTGTGATCTGGAAGAGCCTCATGGGGAATCCCTGGTTTCAGCAGGCAAAGATGCCACGTGCCCTGGTATAGCAAATTTGGGGGTGTGCAGTAGGTGGGGAGGGGTTAAGAGTAAGGGGCTGGGGCTGGAGCTATGAGTTATTCAGATAGAATATTGAGATGGGGACGGGCGCGGTGGCTCAAGCCTGTAATCCCAGCACTTTGGGAGGCCGAGGCGGGTGGATCACGAGGTCAAGAGTCCTGGTCAACATGGTGAAACCCCGTCTCTACTAAAAATACAAAAAATTAGCTGGGCATGGTGGCGCGTGCCTGTAATCCCAGCTGCTGGGGAGGCTGAGGCAGGAGAATTGCTTGAACCCAGGAGGCGGAGGTTGCGGTGAGCCGAGATCGCGCCATTGCACTCCAGTGTGGGTAACAAGAGCGAAACTCCGTCTCAAAAAA